TTCCTTATTTGAGGATTTTTTTCTGCTTCTCTATACTTGCCACCAGTTTTTCTCCTGTTACATTTTATGTTAAAACTAGAGGCCCCGATGCACGAAATTTGTGCAAGAGTTGGCCTTTCTTCCCCTGGCTGCTGGCACCTGCGACCTAGGCTTCCCTCCGGCCTCCGGCAGGCGCCTGGGACCTGGGCTTCCCTCGCAGCCCTGGCTTCATCTGGAAGGATAACTGGTCTAATTAGAAAATTACGCTTTTATTATTATAGATTTTGATCAGAGAAATTTCCCTGTAAAGCATCTTTAATGGCATAGAAAATTCAAATATACAGTAACTCTAAAAGGAATACATGCATTGTTTCCAAACAATATTTTTCAAATGAGAGCTTTATGCAGAATTATTAAATATTTTAAGTTCATACCTTGAAGAACGATGCTCTGGTTTATTTCGTTCGTTGTGATCTGTAAAGTAAGAAGATAGTTACATGCCAAAATGCTCTTTAGAAGCCCTGGAAAAGTTCTTAAATACCAGCTCCCATACCATTATATTTCATAAGAACTGCTCAGAGGTTGCTGTGTCTTCTTCTGTGTAAGGCTGTTCATCAGAATTAAGAGGGTTTGCCTGACAGGAGAGGTAGAAAGGACACAGAGAAAGACAAGCATATGCCGTTTTCATGGTTGTTTAAAACCGTCTACTTGGAAAATATATCATTAAGTGTATTATTTCATTTCAAAGATCTTTGCTGTTTTAAACACTTTGCAAAAAACCCAAACAAATTTAGCTAAAAGAAAGTAAGGAAATTGAAAAACCACAAATTACTCAGCTCCAAAAAATCATTCCATGAATCATGGTTGGCAAAAACTTCTAACGGGATGAGGAGGGGAAAAAATCAGCAGTCAGCTACAGCAACATCTGCAAATACACTAAGACCAGTACAACCTCATCCTTAACTCTCTATCACCCAGAGCAAGTTGGATTTCAATGTTTGAAAGATAATTAAGTCTAATGTGCTTTAGGGCAGTGGTTTTTAACCAGAGGCGATTTCACAGTCCATCCTCCGGAGAACATTTGGCAATGTCTGGAGACATTTTTTTTTTTTTATTGTCACAGCTATCACCTAGCGGGTACAGATTAGGGATGCTGCTAAACTTTCTATAATGCACCCTACAACAAAGAATCATCTCATCAAAATGTCAACTGTGCTAAGGTTGAGAAACCCTGCTTGAGGGTAAGAGACAAAAGCTGACTGCTTATAGTTTTCAAAAACTGCCTCTTTGGGATGCTGTAAAATGTTATCAATCATCTCTAAGACTATTATACATAAGACAAAGAACCACAAAACACACAGGTTGTCTTTTTCTACTCTGAATAACTTTTTTTTTTAATACATGCTCAAAAATAAATAAGATCAGTGTTAAGGGAAAACTAACAACAGAAAGTCAAGTGTAAGCCACAATAAAATCCTATGCAATGTTGTCAAAATATAGTTTTCTAAAGTATCTTCTAAATTATTACTAACATAACAAAATTTAACCCTAAAAGAAAGAGTAGACAGGAATTCTATTGTTCCCCTTAATTTTATTGCTGGTGGAGCAGCATAAAGATAATGAGAATACACTATAAAACTTCTGAAGAGAATTATGTAAGAAAAGGAATCAGATTTACATAGTTAAATGTATATATCGACTCTTTCTGAATGGTTCATGATAATTAAGAAATGTTTTCTAAACCAAAAAGTCAGTACACAGGAAAACACTGTTGTCTGAAATACTAACAAGGAGGAAGACTCGCAATAAAACATGTTTGTTTAGATATAATGCTCTCCCAAATGCACACTGTTAATATGCTTCTGGCTCCAATTTCTCTTGACTTAGTGTCACTGCCACTTTTAAAACTTTTGTTTTAATTTAACTTGGTTTTACCCTGCCCTTAAATAAAAATACCAGGATTTTTCACTGTTGAATATTAAAAATTTAGTCACAGAAATATAGCACACATTTTAACCATATTTTCAATCATTCCTCTTCAGCTGTTAGCCTGCTAGTTTTGCTAACGAAAGTAAAGTATAATGTCTCAAAGTAAAGCTAGAAACTGGGTGCAGATCAGATAACAAAGCAACAGCTCTTACCTGTGGCTAACGATGAGCTCAAAGTCTGCCCGTAATACCATTTGTTGTGGCTGTGATCCTAGTTTCCTATAGTTAACTCAGGCATTCAATCCCAAACTCCCCCACCCCCCCAAATCTTCCTAGTGGTACAGCACACAAGAGGAGGGGAGAAACAGAGTCACAATGCCTGTAAACAAGACTCAGCATCTGAGGGCTTCCCTGAAGGGCCTGTTCTGATTGGCAGATGTGCTATGACCAGTCTGCACAGCTGGAATGCGGCCACTCAGGAAGCAAATGGCTCGTAGCTCTCCTTCATTCTTGGTTAAAAACAGGAAAGTTTATGACATTTTATACTTTCTGAATTAAGAAAATACAAATGCCTCCCCACAGTACTTCTCTATGGAGCTAGTAATTAAAGTCCAAGAAAATAAGTTGATAACCTGTTGAAGGACATTTTAAACATTTCCTCTCAAATTCACTCATGTGTTATATGTGTTACATTTATATGTAAATATGCATACACAGTGTTTGTAACCGATTACTCCTAAATCCCACATAAATTATCTTACAATATTCCCATCCTCCACCTCTTAACAATGGAAAACAAATTAAAATACATGTTTTTGATGTGATCTTTTTTCTCAAAGTATACAAATAATCAGACTTCAAATTTTGCCATAAGCCATCTTTTAGCTTGAATACATATAAATATGTAGTGTGTGTATGTTGTGTGTCTGTGTCCACACATATTTTTATATACTAATTTTAAGCAAAATAATTTTTATGACAGCCAAGAATATTGTGTAATTGTCAAGAAACACACTAGTGGTAATGCTGAATTTCTGGCAAAATAATATGTGGTTGTTATTTTGGTCCAAAAGACAGGCTGAACAAAACAAAGCACTGAGGACAGATTCAAGATCTGGGTCTTGCCGATGGTAAAAAACAAAACAAAAACACAACAAAACATTTGGATAAAATCCCCGAAGTAAAATGATAACTGACCTATAGCAAACATGGAAATTTCATCTTGCTCTGTGCAGTGTTGTAAGCATATGGATCTTATTTATTTCAAATCAAATACTTTTTGGCACATTCCCCTTCCCATTTTTAATTCAGAGTTTCTAATTTTTAAATAATTAGAAGAAAATATACTTGCAAAGGCTTCCTGAACTTCTACATACTTGGAAATCATATAAATAAACACACTAGCCCAAAGTCTCACCATTTCTACACAAAAAATATTTTAGCTCTATATTTAATTTTTTTTTTGCAAGGAACTTTTTTCCTCATCACCATTTATCCCCTCTATGCCCTCATCTACCTCCAGCTCCCCCTGCTCCTGCTCTAATTCTAATATTTAGTTGCCAAATCCTGCACATTTACTGTGGACAATGCACTAACTCCATGGGCCCACCAAGCTGAGCATAATGATTTAGGTCAAAGATCAGCAGTACAATCTCAGTGTGAAGGTCAGCATGGCTGGATGGCCATGTAAAAGTCTGTTGGTTTTTGCAGCTGTATGTATGTCACAGACACATACACACAGGGCATGAGAGTACTTGCATTCCCTATCCCTACTCATCCATGTCTCCTGGTTAATAAAGCTAATTGAGGAAATGGAAGAATACCCTGCAAGTAGAACAAAGGCTGAAAATAAGGCAGAACAGGTATAAAGGTGTTGGTGGTGATTGTATGTGTGCGTATGCGGGGGGAGGTAAAGAAGGCAGTGAGGAAACCCACAGTACATCAAGGGGACTGAGAATCAGGAGAGTGGCAGGAAGCTGCACTGAGTCAGTGATTATGTGTGAGAATGCCACATTCCCCAAATTTTCCTGCCATGATGATTTCTGGTTCTAAGTAGTCTGGTCATACATGATTCTAATGTTTATGTATTTAGGTGGTATGCCACTTAATATAGAAGTGGGCCCCTGTTCTGGCAGAGACAGCTTTTTGAGAATGGTTAGACAGATTCTATTGATGTGTAACCACTCAGGGTGACTCTGAATCGAATAATATGACAAACACTTGGAAATGAAGATGACAAAAATGCAAATGCTATTTTTTGCTTTGATTAAAACTAAGAAGAATGGCCAACGCAGAACTTCTGAGAATCTATTGTACGACACATAGGCTTTAATGATTTGGCTTTGATCACTTAACAGTTAAGTTTTAACTGAAAAGAAAATCAAACTCCATTGGGTAAGAACTTACACTGATAATTTAAGTTGGCAATGAAAGGTCCTAAATTGTTCTTTGAAATTAGTGGGAAGACTCAGTCTACATGAATGAATACACCCAGACACACTTGCAATAGAGTACAAAGTGGTATAAAGGAATCTGTCATGTACAAATTGGAGTACTGAAATCTCTTTTTAGAATGAGACTTATCTATGAGGGGATGCTGCATCACATCCTCAAGCATTACTCTCAAATTCCAGCTTGGGATACACGTAGGTCCTCGGGTTACGTGGGAGATCCGTTCCTACGGCGTGATGTAACGTGATTTTCGCCCTTAAGTCGGAACCCACCTACATAAGCACCTATGTCACTCACATGGAGCACATACACAGCAGTAATGAAGTGAAACAGTAAAAAAAATGTAAAAGAAAGATAACAACTCCTGACCTTTACTTGTGGTAAATAAATAATAAAAAACCATAAAGCACATATGCACCTATGTCGAAATGACAGAACTTTTTTTTTAATAAATAAATGGGAGATGGCGACGTAACCATGAAAACGTACGTCGAGTCCAACGTAACCTGAGGACTCTCTGTAAATACAGTATATTAATTTTTTAAAAACGGATCAATCCTACAGTAATGTTTTATACCATTCAGTATAGCTAAAGGATCCACATAATCTGAAAAGGAATTCTTTGCAGCTATAATATCATTACCTCTTTACTTATAATAAGCAGAATAAATAAACCAATGAATCCGTCCATTACAAGAAAAAAGATATCCAGGTTTCTAGACTCTTATTTTGATGACTCTTTAAAAGATAACAAAACTGGATCAAATAGAACGTAGATGGAATTTTAACTGAGGCCAAAATTTCAGAAGCTTTTCTAAAATATTTAAATGGTTCTTATATTTAGGCAGAAAAAATTGCAAACCTATGTCTACTTGAAAAGAAGCTAATGGTCACTCTATAATATTACCGACACCAAGCAATACCTAATCACCTCCCCTTTCTAATTCCATTTCATCTTCCTTGCTCAGATGGGTTTCCAAACTGATTTTCAGTTACTTTTGAGACTCTCACAGTGACTAGTATATTGCTCTTTTATATGGCAGGTTTTCAATAAATATATTTATTGTTGCTAGCGCTGTCTCTTTTGATTTAAAACACCA